CTGAAGGGCAAAGGTTTGGAGACATTTACTTTTTTTTTTTTGACATTTATTTATTTTTGTGGGAGGGGGCAGACTGCAAGTGGGGAGGGGCAGAGAGAGAAGGAGACACAGAATCAGGAGCAGGTTCCAGGCTCCGAGCTGTCAGCACAGAGCCCGACGCGGGGCTCGAACCCATGAACCGTGAGATCGTCACCTGAGCCGAAGTCGGAAGTCGGGAGTTGGGAGTTTAAGCCACCCAGGGTCCCCAAGGTTTGGAGACATTTAAAGGGCAGGAAAGATTGTGTGCCTGGAGGGTAGAGAGCAGGGAGGGGGGTGGGGCTGAGCGGGTGGGGGAAGGGCAGGAGAGGCTGCGCTCAGGCACCAGAGTCTGCAAGGGACTTTGAATGTCACAGACTAGGTCTGACAAACTACAGCCAATCTGGCCCTCTGCCTGGCTTTATAAATAAAGTTGTGTGGGAACACCAACATACCCACTCATTCACACATTGCTATTTAGCTGTGAGGGCGGAGTCCAAGTGGCCCTCTGTTGGCCACTGCTCTAGGGTTCCCTTGCATCCCAAGGATTCCACCTGCCCCCGGCCAGATCCACCACAGAAGCGCCGCCCCGAGGGGGCATCGCCAGGACTCTCCAGCTGCGGATCCCACCCCCGCTGCAGGGGCATGGTCACCAGAGCTGGCCTTGTTCACTCTCCAGTCCCCAGCCTGGCCCAGAGTAAGCACTCAGCAGTCAGCCACCGAGTGACTGGATGGGGAGAGAGCGGAGTCCCCCTTCTCCCCGACCCCAGGCCGGAAGCCTGGCACGGGTTACCCACTAGGGTGGCCTCTTCCTTACCTTCCTTGTCCGTTTGCTCTGGGGCATCACAGTCTCCCTACAAAGGGTCATCAGTGGCATAGATGACCTCTCTCTTCCCTGAGTCTGAGCTTCTAGTACAAAGTGGTTTCCTGCTGCCTGGGCCCCTCTTGACTTTGGAGGGCCCTGGGCTTCAGGGGGCCTGCCTCTCTCTGGAGTGAGCGGGCAGCTGGGCTCAGCATTCTTTCAAGTAGGGAGACCCTCCGGGATTTTTCCGTTGGCTTGAGACCAGGGAGGGTCTGAGCCTGAGTTTATGAGGGTAGCTGCCATGAGAGGAGTGGGAGGCAGAGCACTGGCCCCGGCCTGGATGTCTGAGCCGGCCCCGTGCTTGCACATTTGGCTTTGTAGCTTGAACAAGCCATTTTGCGTCCCTGGGCCTCAGCCTCCTCGAAGAGTGGTCCTTGGACCACCTACATCAGAGTCATTTGGGAGAGCTTGCTAGAATGAGGATTCCCGGGGCACCTGGGTGGCTCGGTCAGTTGAGTGTCCTGCTCTTGATTTTGGCTCAGGTCACCATCTCACAGTTCGTGGGTTCGGGCCCTGCGTCAGATTCTGCGCTGACAGCACAGAGCCTGCTTGGGATTCTCTCTCTCCTTTTTTCTCCGCCCCTCCCCCACTGGCATGTGTGCACACACTGTCTCTCAAAAAAGTAAATAAACTTTAGAACGTAGATTCCTGTTCTGCCCCTCGCCCCGCCCCTCCGCCCTGTCTCTCAAAAAATAAATAAACATTAAAAAAAGGGCGGGGGTGGGGGGCGCCTGGGTGGCTCAGTCAGTTGAGCCTCCAACTTTGGCTCAGGTCATGATCTCATGGCTCACGAGTTTGAGCCCCATGTTGGGCTCTGCCCGGAGCCTGTTTCAGATTTAGTGTCTCTGTCTCTCTCTGCCCCTCCCCCGCTCAGGCTCTGTCTCTCTCTCTCTCTCTTTCTCTCTCAAAAATAAAAAAGCGGGGCGCCTGGGTGGCGCAGTCGGTTAAGCGTCCGACTTCAGCCAGCTCACGATCTCACGGTCCGGGAGTTCGAGCCCCGCGTCGGGCTCTGGGCTGATGGCTCAGAGCCTGGAGCCTGTTTCCGATTCTGTGTCTCCCTCTCTCTCTGCCCCTCCCCCGTTCATGCTCTGTCTCTCTCTGTCGCAAAAATAAACAAACGTTGAAAAAAAAATAAAAAAAAAAAAGCATTAAAAAAAATAATAATGCAGATTCCCGGGCACCACGCTAGACCCAGAGGCAGAGTCTGGGGATGTTGGGACTGTAGTGCTGCACGTTTCCAAGCTGTCTGGGTATTTGGGACAGAGAGGTCATGCTTGCCAGGCCACGTCCGTGAGTCACTCTGTGAACCCCTTTAAGTGTTAAGCTTATTTCTGTGTTTTTATTACTGGGGTGGGGGGCCGTGGATGCACCATCTCCGGTGCCTTCCATTATCTGAGGGCTCCCGCGTGCTGGAGGGAAAGCAGGACAGAGAGGCGGAGGGGCATTAGCAGCAGCGACAAGCACCCGGTGGGGACGGGGCCCTGTGAAGGCGGGAGAGGCGGAGGCTGCCGAGGCCATTTGCCCTCTTGCCCGCCCAGTTACCCTGCTCCCGCCTGGCACGGACACGCCCCACCCCTGCCACTCCCCTCTGCCGGGAGGAAGCTTCTGCCACAGAAAATGACCCCAGGTGACACCACCGAGGCTTTCTAGTGACCAGTTTGTGGAGGCATCGGTCATCACACACGTTGGAGCTGGGAGGGATCTTAAGAACATTCTAATCCTGCTCTTCCACGTTACAGATGGGGAAATGGAGACTCAGGAAGGGGAAGAGCTTGCCTGAGGTCCTCCTGCGAATTAGCACCAGCCGGGGGCTCAGAGGCCAGACTCCTGGAGTCCCAGCTCCCCATCCTCCTGGCCTAACCTCTCACAGACTCCAGCTCGTTTGCAATTTCTCCAAGTTACTTTTGTAGTTTCTGACGTGTTGGCATCCTGTCTGTATTATTATTTGTCAAGCATTTTCCCAAATAGGCTTTTTGTTTTACCTACACAAATAAATCCATTTTAACAGGAAACCTCACAGCATGACCATAAATGGATGACCGGTATCCTGTGTTGTGAGTAGAAGGTGCGCGTAGGAATCCTTACAGAACTCTTGACGTAAATAATCTCGGTCTGTGTAGTCCTCAAACTCACTTCCAAAACCACCAGCGGGACCTTCTCTAGTCTTTTGGAGATGCTCGATGCCAGTGTAGTGGGAGATGTATAGATTTAAGCCACGTTCAGGAATGATCTAGACTGGATGGTCTCAGGCCACCAGGGTTCAATTCTGTTGCTAACTCATCAGGTCACTTGTGCAGGTGACTTCTCTTCATCGTTCTATCATCTGTAAGGTGGGCCTCACAACTGTGGCAATTCCATGGGGGACAGGGAGGGGAGTGCCGTGGGGGCCATAGGGCACTACCCTTGTGACGACGGCTATCTTGGCAAACCCTTACTAGAGGGTCTGCTCTGGGTCCGACAGGATAGCTGACATGGGACATGCCGGCATCTTCAAGGGGAGGTTTAGAAGGAGTGGGTCCCTTTTTGCCATCAGCCATTATCAGGCCAGGGGAGGGAAGCGGCTCTGGGAGGGGGGATCTGGCCTCTCCTCCCTCTCTCCCCTCCCCCACCCGTCTTTTCCTCTCATTAGGACAGAGAGGGCAGTGGTGGATTTTATGTGGCTGCAGCAAGCCAGACTCAGGTTAGAGTCCCAGAACTGTTTCTTTTTAAATCTCTTTTTTTTAACGTTTATTTATTTTTGAGACAGAGAGAGAGCATGGATGGGGGAGGGTCAGAGAGAGAGGGAGACATAGAATCAGAAACAGGCTCCAGGCTCTGAGCGGTCAGCACAGAGCCCGACGCGGGGCTTGAACTCACAGACCGCGAGATCATGACCTGAGCTGAAGTCAGACGCTTAACCGACTGAGCCACCGAGGCACCCCCTCCCAGAACTGTTTCTAATGCTCATTCAGTTCACTGGAAGATTTTAGTGAGCTTCCGGAAAGGAAGCTGGGGACTCTCTCCTATTGATTGACTCAGCTCCGGGGAAACCCGCCAGCTTCCCCAGGGATGGGCAGCCCTCCAGGGTCTTCTCCTTGCCTGAGGTTGAGCACAAGCCCCTTTTGGGAGGCTGAACTTGGGTGAGACCCCAGGGCTCGGTGATGGTAGGAAAAGGCACTGTGGGCTCCTCTGAGCTGCCTTTTGGGCCTTTCCTTGGATTAAGAGGGTAGAAAGAGGAAAGCACTGGGAAGCTCGTGAGTGAGATACTCCAGTGTCACCAACTACCAGGCTCCAGCAGACCCTTGTGACATCCCTGGCTCCTTCTCTCTTCCCTCACTCAACCGGTTTCTGGAGGGTAAGGCTGAGGCCAGAGTGGAAGGGACTTTCCAGAGGTCACGAAGCAGGGTAGGCTGGAGAGTGACCCGGAGCATTCCTGACCCTCAGCAGGTGCACGTGTCCACCTCAATGCCCTTCCTCAAACCAGCTCTCAAGAAGGGCTTTGAGATCTGCCCTGTCATTGTGGTTTGGGGGACATGCCCTGGGGTGGGCCGCTGGCCTGGGACGGTGATCAGGATGGGCAGATCCCAGGCTAAGCTTCAGCCACGGAAAGACACATAGGCTGAACTCTGCTTACAAAGAACAACGTGTCAGACTGAGCAGGTGTTGGGGACAGCCACGACCGACCGACCGGTTCCTGCTCTCAGATCTTCCGCTCACTGGCTGCGTAGCCTGGGGACAGATGCCATCCACCTCTTCCCTTTCACAGGTGAGTTTCCTCACCTGTCAAGTGATGAGAATCGTGCATTTCTACTGAAACGAAAGAGGGGACTCTAGGGCAGCAGCCGCTGCAGCGGAAATGCTGTAGAAATAAATGGGACCTGGCATTCTTAGCTGTGGCCTGCTTGCAGGAACAAGCCCCGCGTCCCTGCATCCTGCAACGAATGGAGCCTTCCTTGGCGTCTGCATCTGGAAAACCTTAGTCCTGGCGAGACAGAAGGGTATTTAAGGCCCAGCATCTGACCTCTCTTGGAATTTTGGGGTCCTCTCTTCTACTGATACGGAACGGAGCGGCTTTTGCTCTGCCTGAGCCCTGCTGGCTCTTGGGGACCTGGGAATGGAAAAGAAATGACCAGAAGACACTTACCCTGGGGCTGGGCCTTCAGGGGCCCCTCCGGCCCGGAGTTTGGAGCTGCTGCTTGTCTGGTGCCCTGTCCACCTGCCCCTTCCGGCCTGACCACGTGGCTTTTCTCTGTGGGCCTCTTTAAGATCTCCTCGATGGAGAAGGACAGCCCCAGCTTCTTTGGGGCCCCACAGCGCCCTGAGTTCTTCCTCTCCATACCCCGCAGAGGACAGGGCTAGCCTTGGAGCACTCTGTGAGAGGCAGAGGGACAGAAGGGGACCTTGTGTGCGTCCAGGGCGACAATGGTGGAGGGTGGCGTACCTCCTCCCCTGAAACTCCTGTAATAATCAAAAGGGCAAGCAGAGGTGGAGGACGGGGCGCCTCAGGTCAGATGATCAAAGCACGATTCTGTCTCCATGGGGACTTCCATGGGCTCCTTTCAAATACCCCTGGGATCAAGGAGGCAGGTCACATCGGGAGAGCTGGAACAGGCTGTACCCCATGCCCGTGGGCCCAGAGCTCCCGCAGGCTTGATGTCAAAGGAGTCACCATTGCCAGGCTGGGTTCAGTCGTACTGCAAAAGGTCTTCTCTGGGGTGGTCGCTTTCAAAATCCCCAGGCTGGGTCAGGGTCCCTGAGGTCCCTGTCACTGGGGAGTAAGGCAAAAAGCTGGAAGGAAGGTGGAGCCAGCTCCCAGAGATCCAGAGGCAATGTGTCCACCTTTGCCTTTTCTCTGGCTTCTGACCCTTTCCTGCCGGCTCTGGGCAGCCTCTGGCAGGCTGGAGTGCCACCGTTGGGCCCCGGGTGGCCAACTCGGATCCAGGCCACCCTACAGCTTGAGAGGTATTCCCAGGAACCCTCTTGGACTTCTAGTTCTGCTGCTTCTGGACTCCAGAATAGGCTTTCTGGCACATCTGTGCTTCTGTCCGGCAGGTGGAGGCTTAGGAGGGGGATGTCTGGACCACCGCAGGCTGGATCTCTGGGACGGATCTGGACTGAGTGCAGGGGTCTCCGGCCTTCCTTCCACTCCCTCCCTGGCCTCACTTTGCAAGCCTCTCCAGAGGCTCCTGGCCCAGGGTGCCTCTCCCTTCCCTTCGATGTCCTTTGTCTCCGGAGACAGCACAGCGGGAACGCTTTCTGTCTGTCCCGTAACCTGTTGGCTGGGAGCTGACAAGGCACCCACCTGTCCTTCCTGGGAATTCTACTCCCAATTTCTGTGTAACCAGGGAGGAGGGGGCAGTAAAACAGCTGATAAGAGAAGAAACTCTCCACCCTCCTCAAGCCTGGCGATGCAGGTGTTGGGGGAGGGGACCCTGAGGCAGTGATGCAGGTGTTGGGGGGGGGGCGGCCCTGAGGCAGCTTGTTGTGTTGCTGAAGGACGGGAAGCAGGGCCCTGGGGAGGTGCCATGCTGGGGAGCAGGACAAGGGAGGATGGGAATGGGCCACCAGGAAGTGTCCCCCGGGCCCCATAAAATGTGTTTGCTCAGTTAGGAGAGTTTATGGGTCACATGGAGGCTGGAGGCCCGGCCAGGGTGCTGTCAGCCGTGGGCCAGTCAGAAGTGTTTCCCTGGGCTTGCAAATGTCAGAGGAGGAGAGGCTTCTGAGTTCTTATGGTGTATGTGGGGAGACTGAGGCCCAGACCACGGAGGTGTGGTGGATATCCGGGCACAGTCTGATCTAAGTACTCCACTGGGGAGCTCCAGAAGGCCATGCTGGGCGCAAGGAGCCAGTCTGCACGAGAGGGACAGATGCCCCAGGAGAGACTGTGAATGTGCCTGAGAACACTAGAAGCCAACATTCTTGTAGGGGGTGGGAGGAGGGGAGACTGACTGCCCCCACCCCCCCCAACTTCCTACAGAGGAGGAGTCTGGAGAGTGAGGGACTGGCCCTGAGATGGGGAAGGATAAAGATCATGCATCCTGGTTTAGAAGCGGTGCCCCTTGTGAGTGTCAGGCTATCCGATGGAGTCGGGGGGTCCGGGCTCCCATGCGGTAGTGAGCGAACCCTACAATCTTGGGAGCGTCGCTGCTCAGCCATGCCAAAGCCTGATGTAGTTGGTCACTGGGGCTCCTTCCAGGCGGCCATGCTACCACCCTCCAAGTTTTCCCTGGACGGGGAGGGGATGTCAGTGAGTCAGAAGTGGGAGTGGCTAATGTAACTCCTGCTCTTGCTCTGGGGCCAGAATGAGTCACATGACCCTGCTTAGATACAAGGGACGGGGCGGGGGTGGTGGTGGTATGGGGAAATGGATTTCTCCCTGTACCAGGAGGAAAATGAACCAGCCTGGTGAATGCACTGTAAAATGCCTGCTGCCTACCTTTATGGTCAGGAGGCCAGGGTCCCACAGCGGTCAGGCCAGCGCTGGCGGGCTGAAGGCGTCATTGATTGGGAGGGCGTCTTCCCCTCCACTTGGGGCAGAGAAATGTGTGGGGGCACTTGCGGTAACTGGTCAAGGGTGAGGACGGGCACATCAGGGGCCGAAGCAGCAGAGGCAGCAAGGAGAGGAGGAGAGCCAGGAGCTGGAAGCTGTGCACTCACTGCCTTGTTTAATCCACCCAATAGCCCCATCGAGCGGGTTTCATTCACGCCATTTTGGAGCTGAGGAGATGCGTCCAGAGAGGTGGAGCGGTGGGGGTGTGAGGCTACGCGGCAAGGCGGCAGAAGCAGTATTGAAACCCAGGTCGGTCCTGCTCTAAGACCCTGCTCCCCTTGCCATAATCCCTGGAGACCATTTGATCCAAGCCTGTTATAGTACTGATGAGCCGAGTCCCAGAGAGAGAAGTTGCCTGAGTTACACCTGTCATTTTTAGCACCTCGTCTGATTCCCTTATATTTTGCCTCTCTCTGGGGTGAGCCTCACTCCCCAGCAGGTTAAGGAAGCCCCCCCGTGGTCTCCTTCCAACCCACTGCCCCCAAGGCTAGCCACAGCCCTGGCATTCACACTGTGTTCATCCCACAAACCCGTGTGCCACCCACGAGGGACACGTAGATGCCCGAGACCAAGACTCTGTCTGCCCTGAGGGACTCACATTTGGGGGTGGGGGAGGAAAGAACATGGCTGGACATGCGCCAGTGAGACAAACTTCAAAGTGGTGGGGGGCCGGGGGTGGGAGATCTAGTAGGACTTCAGAGGAGTCAGAGATTGGGTGGCCGTTTGGATCAAAGGATGCTGTAACGTGGAGGAAGGAAGGAGACAGGCAGGGGAGTCATCGCACACGAGCTCCCCCATTTATTCTATTCTAAAACACGCAGACAAATCAAGGGACCCTGCATGGTGTGCCATGACTAGTTTCACTGATGGGAGAAGGATTTCATCTTCTGAAGAGGTATTTAGGAAGAACGTGCTGGAAAAGTGGGCTGGAGCCATCTGTTCATTTATGCATCCATCAAACATTTTTCAAGCACCTGCTCTGACGTGCCAGACCGTGACTGCGGTGCCGGAATGAGAGTTGGGATCCAAATCGACAGCCTCCCTCTTCCCCTGGAGCTTACTTTGAGAACAGAGATGGTAACTAAATGCCTGACGTCATTTCCATCCATGCTCATGTTGTAAATAAGACAAAACAGGATGGCGAGCTAGCGAGTGGCCAGGTGAGGGAAGGTACTTTAGTTTCCTTGGATTTGAATTTCAGCGCCCCCTCCCCCCCCCCCAAGACAACACGGAACCATAGGTGTTCTCGTGAGCAACGGCTCAGGAATCGGAGAGCTGGTGAAGGCAAACACCAGGGATAAAGTGGAGACGCGTTATAAGCGGAGTGTGTCGGCGTCTGGGAGGGAGTATCAGGATGAGTTCAGCTGTAAGTAACCAAATTCCTAACACGAGAGGCTTAAACAATAGGGGGTTTGTTAGTTGGCTTGGTGGTGTGCATAGGTTGGAGGACTGATCCAGGACAGGCTAATTCAGGTATGATAACAATGTCAAGGGCTGGGAACTTTCCAGTTTCTCCTCTGCCTTCCCCAAAGAGCTGGTTTTTGTCTCCATGCTTGTCCCCACATGACTGGTAGATGGATGGTTCCAGAAGCTCCAGGCTTGTGGCCCACACAAGTGGGCCTGCCTTCCCCCACTCTTTTTATCATGGAAGAAAGCCTTTCCCAGAAGTCTCCGAGGAGAGGAGACTTTATTTCCCCTTGGCCGGGACTGTGTCACATGCCCACAAGTAAACCAATCACTGCCAGAAAGAATGAAATGACCACGACAGATGAAATTATTCAGGGTTCATTTCCTGGGACTGTGCCGGGGCCGCCTTTCCTGGTCAGTCAGGAAACAGCTCAGTTCCTGGACAAAACTGGGGTCTGATTGATAGGAGGAAGACAGGTGACTGCTACTGGGGAGAGGCTGGCAGGGTCTGCTTCCGGTAGTGGGGGGTGGGTCAAATGGGAGGTTGTGCAAGGAGGGGTGTGCAACTGACAAGGCCCCCGCTGTGATTGGGGGAAAGGAGGAAGAGAGGAAGGACGGAAGGAAGGAAGCACCGTCTCCGAGTGTCCCCCATCTTTGGACGGCTCTGACATGTCTCATGGGGGGACAGCGGGATCCTTTCCAAAGTCATCACTGCATTACCGCCTCTGTTGCTCACAGCCTCCGTGGGGAGGAGAGTCGTGATTCGAAGGGATTAAAGCCTGATGAGGGAAGTGACTCACTCAAGGTCTCTCTGTTAGTTGCTAGCAAGCGGCAGAGTCATGGCTTGGACCTAACCTTTCTGTCACCCAAACCCAACCTCTTTCTGCCATTCTCCACTACCTCCTGGAGTTATTTTAAAATTTTGAGTTTTTATTTTTTATTTTATTATTATTTTTTGAAAAGTTTATTTGTCTTGAGAGGGGAGGGAGAGGCAGAGAGAGGGAGACAGAATCCCAAGCGGGCTCCGCACTGTCAGCGCAGAGCCTGATGCACTAGTTGATTCCACGCACTGCGAGATGGTGACCTGAGCTGACATCAAGAGTCAGAGGCTTAACCTACTGAGCCACCCAGGTGCCTCTAAAATTCTGAGTTTTTAGAAGGAACTCTGAAAGAAGCATCTCTATGGAGACCTCAGTGGGTTGGCACTTGAGAGATTTGAGTTCCTAGAGGCTTCCGCCCTAACTTCCCTCCAGAGCAATTTTTCTGGGTCTAGCCCTCTGTGTATTTGGGATTCTGTGGTGCTAGCCTCCTGAGCAGAAGAGGGCCCTTGTTCTGTGGGCTAGGTTTATAAGGGCTGAGTGATCGGGGACAATGACATGAAGGTCGTCTGTCATACGGATGCTCTGGTGAGAGGATTGGGAGTACTCTGCGGACGCCCTGCCCCACCCCCATCCTTGCACTATTTTCCCTTGAAAATTGCTTTTGCCATGGACTCCTGGGAGGACTGAGATGCCTCCATCTGCCATTATGAGCTCATGTTTGATTCTTCTTCACCCTGGATTCTGTTGAGGGCACTCAAAGCCCACCCATGGTACTTAGACCCCCTTGCTTGGGAATGAGAACGTGTCCTTCAGGCAGCCTGGGCAGATCCTAGAGGAACCTACAATTGGGAAGGTAACACCTAGCACTCAGGACAAACCACAGAACCCTCTCCC